AAAAATAACTAAATAAATAAAATTAATGTCATAATATTTTAAGAATAAAGTTAAAATTAAGATAATAAAATCATGTTATATAATGTGAAAATTCCACCCTCCCCCCAAAAAAAAAAAAAAAAAAAAAAGTCTGTGGCATCCGTCATTCTTTTGACTTTTTTTTAAAACTCTGATTGGTCGATCCATGAGACATTCATTTGTATTAAATTGTTCAGATTTTTTTCAACATGCATTCAAATATTCATGTTTAGTTCGTGCTGCAAATATTAAAGAGGAAAATATCATTGATTCATATGCAGCTTGAACTGAGGCGAATTATCTCACTACAAATTAAAGAGTGAAAAAGACGTTTATTGTTTGTAGGCTATGTTATCATAAAATTGACAGAAGGCTGAGACTTTGTAGTAACAAAGCCCAAAGCTGCGATTATTGGGTGGCTTGCGTGCTACAAATAATGAATGGACTTGAAAACTTTAAACATAATTTCCAAGCATTAGCCTAGACCGTAAATAAAACAGCTTGTGAATAGTCACGATTCACATAACGTTATTTACGTCAGAAAAATCAACAATAGGGCCTAAGTTAAGTTAACCGAGTTGGAGCCCATAACGTTTTGGTACAACTCGCTACGCCACTGCTTTCAAATATCAACATCGTTTGGCAAAAATCGCTTAGTGCACCTTTAATATATTTATTTAACCTTTGCTTTTAATTAATAATTAGACTGTTTACTTCCTTTCAGCTTGAGAATGTTTTACTTGCATTAGTTTAGCATAATTTTTTTATTTGGTTCGAAAATATTATTATTTTTTAAAATATAGTGGCAGCTTCTAGCTTCAAATAATTTTTTTTTTATAACATCTTATTCCTTGCATAATGTCATTTATTAACTAATTATTATTAAAACAGTTGTGAGTTGGCTGTGAGTTATGGAAAGTACATGTATGTTTTTTATACACGGTGTGTGCCATTGTAAAGACTAGGCTTATCCCTCACAGCCTCATTTTCATCCAAGAAAAAATTCAAAATGCTGTCTACCCTGTCTAAGGTCTAACTATTTGTCATAAAAAACCCAAAACATGCACAGCCACAATCAGAGATCAGAGGTACATTTTCTGCTCTTCATGTCTCATTCACCAAGCTGTGTTCGTCCTAGTTTGTCTTATTTGCCTGTTTAGTTTAATAAATCATCCTGCAACTAGATCCACGTTTCCTCCTGTTGTCACTTCTGCTTCCCGGCATCACAGCAGCCATATTAGCAATGCCTTTAAGCAGCTATTTTGGCCATGCAAGACCAAGTTGCTAAGTACACTCGTATTTTTGCGAGAGTTTTAAATGTTTTTTCTTTAAACCAAAGTTTGTAATGATATGATTCACCACAGAGCTGCTTAGTTTGGTCAATGCTTTAGAAGACTTCAATTTGAACATTTTGAAGTCCCTATGGATAAAAATTAAAAGGAGAAATATTTCCAAGGGAAGGAATCACTTACAGCAGTTTAGTAGCTAACAGAATTATGCCAGCTTGGACTTTTGGCATATACAGTATGGGGCAAGAGTCTTACCCCTGGAGCGGCGATTTGTACAAAATCATTTGTCGTGCTTAAATTCATCTTAACCACAATGATGGAAAGATCCTCTTGATAGTAGGTCTTGGATTGCTCAGAATTATTCATATTTATAATGCCATGGATGGCTTTCTTTTCCACACTGCAAAAAGGTTAGATAAAAACAAGAAGCAAAAAAGTCTTAAGCAGTGTTTCCAACCCTGCTCTTGTAGACCGCCACAAAACCGCACATTCCCTAATCAAACACACCTGATTTATCGTTAGGTGCTTCCAGTAACAGGGTTTGGAACCTCTGAATGTCCACTGAAAGAATTGTGCATTTTAAAATCTTTAACAAGGTTATATTTACCTAATGTAGGTATCCCGAACAGCTTCATGAAAGATCACATCTTTGCACATTCTTTTAATATTGAGAATGTTTCTCATGTCTTTTGGCATATTCATTTTTTCCGCTTTCTTTTTCAGGAGCTTACTTATGTCACCAGGCAGGCAATCTACCACAGTACATTTGGATAATGTGTCACCTACAGTCATAGATGACAGGAAAAGTTAACGTCCTGCGAACCACCAAGGTATCATACTCAATGCACATTTCTTATAAAGCTGTAATTCAATGGAAGAAAATAAGTCTTGCTTACGTATGCTGAAGTCAACTCTTGTGTTATCCTCATGATTTATTTCCAGTTCAAATGTTTTTGGTTCTGTGAAATTTTTGTTTCGACAGAAATCGTAATAGGAGCACTCAATATAACATGAATTTGTTGTTGAATTACAAAGCAACTGTTCTGCAGTTTCCAAAACGGCAATGTTGCGTCCAGATGTAAATGAGATTCTCATCTCCATTGCCTTATTTGTTAGTGTTAGATGTACTTGACATGACAAAGGGAAAATACACAATTACAGAATGAAATGTAAGTGTTTAAAAGAGCTTATCATTTATAAGTTCTGTTGTAGGGGAGACCGGGGCTAGTTGTCACACAGGGAATTTGTCATTATGGGTTATGTCTGTAAAGCCTTAAAAATACAGTCTATGTATTTCACAACACTTCAGCCTGTGATTCTTATTAATTGAGGGTCATGTTTCAGGATCTCTGACACTTCGTACTTGACTCTGGAAGTTCTGGAAAAGCTGGCACTGGAGACTTAAGGGTTCCTGATTGTTTAATTCTTGGTTTAACACACCTAATTTTTCACCTACGTAAATGTTTAACGTCTTTTGCATTTAATATCTTTTCTTTTCAATTTGTTTTTGTGACTATTGTCCCAATGAGCATGTCTTATCCAATAGCCAGACCTTAATCTTACGATTTCCGTAGTATTGCTTCCTTCTCATGGGCATTTAATAATTTTTGACTTTTTTTCATTGTGTCAACTCTCTTTATTTTTTTTGGCCCATTTTACTTGTAAAAGAAAACCTGCTTAATAATTATGCACATCTGAACATAAGGCGTTTTTCACTTGACTGCAAAAAAAAAAAAAAAAGTATTTATTACGGTTAATGTGGTTCGTAATCAGATACAAATGGAAATAGATGAAAAACTCTGGCATGCATTTAGACGAGTATCACTCATGTCAGGATGGGATGGGGATGGGTCACAGGTTGTTACAATTTTACAGGTTGTAATTTATGTAACATATTTATAAAAATGAATCTTTTCGTTTTTTTATAATAGTTTTTTTTTTTTTTTGAATTTCGATGGAAATCCTATAATAGTTAAAAAAATGTAGTTTAAAAAATAAAGCTACCTAAAATAACTATTCAGTGAAGTCAGAAGCCTGAGGACCAGCCTCGGTCTCCCCTGTATCTATTTATCTATTTATGTGTCAACCTATTTACTGAATGAGAAGGTCTATGGAAATTGTATGCAAATATTTTCCTTATTAGAACAAAAGCAGAGTATCGAAGTACAAATTCTGAACACAAGGAAATCAAGTATTTAAATAAAGAAAGTGTTACTTATTTCAGGAAGAGGGATTTAACCATTTACTACCTCTTTGAGCTTTAATAATCGTTTGTAGTTAAACTAGCAATGTGAACCATTTTAATATAATTTAATTTATTTTTTATAAGAAGGGAAGTGCTTTCAATAGTTACTCTTGTTGCATTCTCCAGCATCCAGGCCATAAATCAGGATCAGAAGTAGAAGAAGTGACATATCTTTAGCTCTCAGGGACATCTTAGGATTTATGGAGGTAAGAATACAAGGAAATGACATAATTTGATCAAATAGCTTTGCTCATTTAGAAAAATACCCCCAAATTAACCATTTACATCTATTTTAATACGACACAAGACATTATATTGTGCTTTAACTGTCACCCTCATTTTTGAACATAGCCGTGAAAGTGCACTATCCAAACTTAAATAGTTATAATTCATGAATGAAAACATTTTGAAAAATGATTTGGAAGTTTCCAGTGTTTTTGTTTTTGAGGATTTAAGCTTTAAATTGATATATCATTTATGATGATTTCTAAAGCGTGACAGGGAAAAAGGCAACAACAACAACAAAAAAAAAGACTTTTTGTGACAGGTCAGAACTTTTTGAGGTGCACTCTTGTCATGAATTAATCTATTTATATGGTCCCTACATAATTTGTAACAAAAAAGAGGTAAAATATCTATTCAGGAGTCTTTCCAACGATATACAGTTTGTCATGATTAGATTAGGATTTTTTTGTAATGTAGTGAAGTAAACTTTACTTTTAACAGTTTAGACTAGAGGTTAAATAACTTATCTCTTTAAATAACTTAATTATAAGAACACTCCAAAATGATCCTAAAAGAACCTACTTACCTTTGTTTTCCTAGCAGGTTGAAGTGGTGACAGCTCTGTATGGAAAGTTCAGAACTCACACTGAGAGTTGATCATCAGCCATACTCAAATGTTGTGGCTTCAGGCATATCCAATGAGCTCTACTGACAGCAGAGCACAACGACAAGCCTTGTCAGCACTTTGTATTTATGACTATTATGACATTAATAATAATAATAATATGTTTAATATATATAGCGCCTTTCCCAAGCTCAAGGACGCTCTACAAGGTACACCAAAGCAGCAAATATTGATTACAAAGAAACAATTTCATTGGACATTTGCCCAATTCAGTTACAAATAATGCAGTTGCATATAACACAGATTATGTAGTAAAGACAGAAATAGAAAACAAAACAGACAAATACACAATGTAAATTAGTGATAGTGTTGATTAAACAAATAAGTTTTAAGCTTTGATTTGAATTCACTGAAAGAGGTGACTGTTCTGAGTGCCAGGGGAAGTGAATTCCAAAGTTTGGGTGCAGTAACAGAGAAGGTTAACATTACATAAAAGACTGTGGTTCACCGCCTCTGTTAAAGGAATAGTTCACCCAAAGATTTTACACAAGATGTAGATGAGTTTGTTTCTTCATCAGAACAGATTTGGAGAAATTCAGCAGTACATCACTTGCTCAGCAGTGGATCCTCTGCAGTGAATGGGTGCCGTCAGAATAAGAGTCCAAACAGCTGATAAAAACATCATAATAATTAACAAGTAGGGGAGAGCGGGGCACAGAGTAACACTTTTTGACTTTCTCAAATTGTGTAAATCCAAATGGGGTTCAGAGTATAATTTTTTTATCCACAGTAATTTCACACTTGTCTAGTACAAATATGTCGCTTTGTTTCATAATTACAGTGTATACGTTTTTCTTTATTTACCCTCAAAAATTGGAAGTGAAATGTGACAACATGCCCCGTAGGTGGGGTACATTGTAACATCTGAGGGGCACGTTGTAACATGACCAAATGACATCTTAAAATGTTATCTGATCGCATGAAAAAAATATACAAGACAAATTAAAATATTTTGTCAATAAAATAAAATAATTATTAATTTCAAATAAAATAATGGCGTTTAAGAATGAAAAATAATCTGATTTCGGAGTTTGACAATAAACACATTGCAACCATGCTTGGGACGGCCCACCTAAACGAACCAAAATGCTTTACATGTCTTGAAATAATCATTTCTTAAAGAGAAAGGAAAACTTGAAATCGCATCATATGACCCCGTTAAATGAGTAATAAAAACTGAGATGAAAAATTTACTTAAACCCGAAATATAATTTTACTATGGTAAAATAAATTTTCAGCGATATCTTCAAAAGACTTTTGAATTTTGGTGCACTTTTTTTCTCTATATGTTGATATGGTAACTAGTAAATGCTGTAAATTGTTATGCTAGCATGTGTGGAAATATTTAAACCACGTGTGTTACAACTTACCCCGCGTTACTTTGTGCCCCGCGCTCCCCTAATCCACACGACTCCGGTCGATCAATTTTCTTATGAAGTGCAAAGCTGCATTTGTAAGAAACAAATCAGTCATTAAGGCATTTTATATTAAAGCATCGCTTCTGCCCATACTACCAGTCTATAATCCATAATAATGCTTCCTCAGGTGAAAACGTCCATCCCTTGTTGTCCTCTCACATCAAAATCCCCAACGTATTTGTTTAGAGCTGTTTTGGACTGTTTTCACTTGTAAACAGTGCTTGATCTGTTCACATTTCTCTCCTGATTAAGACGAGATTAATTTTTCACTGGAGGAAGCACTATTATGGAAAAAGGACTCATATTTTAGCCTTCAGTGGATTGCTTACATGTGGATACTGTGATGTTTTTATCAGCTGTCTCTCATTCAGAGACTGCAGAGGATCCATTGGTGAACAAGTGATGTAATACTAAATTTCTCCAAATCTGTTCAGATGAAGATACAAACTCATCTTGGATGGCCTGAGGGTGGGTAAATTCCTTTAAAAGCAAGCATTTATTTGTGATTATAAGGTTGAGAGATTTATTGACCACCGCTGGATCACTAGAGCTTGTAATTAGTTGGTGGTTTACAGAGATGGTAGAGTTAGTCCTGGTCTGGGGTTTGGATATGTAGAAAGATATATACAGTATATATATATATATATACACACACATACTGTTTACAATATATACTGTTTTCATCACTTTGCTTGTTTTGTGTGCTCTAGATGGCTGTCAGTCTGTGCATTAGTGGTGGGAATTTTTCTGTATCTCTTTACCTGATCAGTTCTGGTCTATACCACCTCTTGCATGCTGCAGCTTATTCTGGTTAACAAACACCCACTTAGACAGGAAGACTGTCAGACAGACTGTGATCAGTGACGATATATTTAGTTCATATGTGCCATTTGAGGTAGTTCTTGGTAGTTTGACAATGTACTTTTAGTTTCGTATGCAGTATGCAATAGACATTTATGGCACAGACTGTGAATGGCCTGAGAATGTGCCATCTGACACTGAGATGTAGGCTAAATTCAGACTAGCATATTAATCTTCTGGCATTTCTGGCATTGTAAGAGTAGTGTACAAGTGGCCTATGCTG